GGCCGGGGCCGCTGGGGGCGGGGAGGGGGACGCTGACGGCGCGCTCCGGCCGCGAGGGGCTCTGCCGCCTCCCCGGATGCTCCGGCCGGCTCCCGCGGGCCCTCCACTCGCTCCCTGAGCCACCCCGCCCCCAAATCCTGGCGGGCGGCGCCGCTCTACCTCTGCTCCTCCCCGGTTCACCCCAGCCCCACGCTGGCCGTTCTCCTCCTCGCCCCGAATTGTCCCCAGGCCTCCTGAGCCTCCCCTAAGTACCCCAGCTCCTCTTGGGCCTCACCCCACTCCCTCGGGTACCGTAACCTCCTTCTCCGCTCCTTCCCAGTGTCCCCCACACCTGGGAGACTCACCTCTCTCCACAGTTATCCCAGCCCTGAGCAACCCCGTCCCCCAGTGTTTCCTGTCACTCAGGCCACGCCACCGTCTCCCCTAACCCTCAGTGCTACCCCTCCCCCCATGACCTAGGTCCCACTCAGACCTCCCCCACCAGCCCCCAAACACCCAAGCCATGCTCTGATCACCCCTCTCCTTCTCTCCCTGCCTCAACTTCCCCCACCCCATCCTCCAATCTCTTTCCCCCACTCCCCCGCCTCCAGTCCTCTAGCCTGTCCCCTCCAGTACCCACCCTAACGAAGGACTCTTCGCCTGAGTGCCGGCCCCCTAGCTCCAGCCTTTTTATCCTCCAGGATGGCCCGTCGGTCCTTCTGACACACCCACTTGCCCATTCCCCGGTCCCCAACCTCACTGGCCCTAGCTGACCGCCCCACTCCGGTCCCCACCCTCCCCACTACTGCCCGGTCCCCCACCCCGCCTCACCCAGCACGCGGAGCTCAGCGGCGGCCGTGGCGAAGTCGCGCGTGCGGGGCTTGTTAGCGCGGCACACGTAGACGCCCGAGTGCCGGGGCTGCGCGCTGCTGATGAGTAGGTTGGTGCGGCCCAGGACAATGACGTCGGTGGAGATGGGTTTCCCATCTGGGGGAGGAGATGAAGATTGCTGGAGGAGGGCACCAAGGACTGCCCCTCCATCTACTCCCTGGATCCGGGGTGGGGAGGCCCTCCACACCCGGTTAAGGGAACACAACAGTCCCTTGTTTGAATCTCAGTTCCTCCACCTGCTAGAGGCCTGACCCCCTCTGAGCCCTCCTGTCTCCGTCTGTAAAGTGGGGAGAGGATTGTCCCTAGCTGGAGGGATGCTGTGAGGGTGGGACACGTGAGGTTTGTGAGAAGGCCAGGCACAGTGCAGGTACCTAACAGGTGCTCAGTGCATTCGTCAGTTACTACTATTACCATTATTATTAAATCCATTTCTCTCAAGGAGGACACACTCCTCCTGTATGGTGTTATCCCAATACTGTGATGAAGACATGGATGGAAAAGTCTGACCAGAACCAAAGATTTGAATATATGCAAGACTTTTTATCTTGAATCTGAAATGAGAACCATTTTTTTAAAAAAAGATTTTATTTATTTATTTGAGAGAGAGAGATAGTGAGAGAGCACAAGCAGTGGGGAGAGGGAGAAGCAGGCTCCCCGCTGAGCAGGGAGCCCCACACCAGCTCCATCCCAAGACCCCAGGATCATGAACGGGAGCAGAAGGCAGAAGCTGAACTGACTGAGCCACCCAGGCGCCCCTGAGAACCGTTTTAAAAGCCCCTGCTTTCTGAACACGAACAGAAAATCCAGAGGAGAAATGCAAATGGCCAAGAAACACCAAAAAAAGTGTTCAACTTCACATAAGCAGAGAAATGCACACCAAAACACAGATGTTAATTCTCACCTATCAAACTGGGAAAGTTTTTAAAAAGGGTAAGCTGCCAGAGAAAGGGTAAATGCTGAGAGGGGCTCCACCTTGACTTTGACCCAGGGATCCCATTTGTGGGCCCCTGTACTGGGGAGATATTAACAGGGCTGATCACTGCAGTGTTACATAACAAGTGGCCAATGGGAAAGGACTGGCAAATTGCATTATGGTTATATTCAAATGATGGAATATAGTCATTAAAATTACTTTTTGAAAAAGTTTTAGAGATGGGGAAATGGTTATGACATACTGTTGAATTAAAGTAAGACTTGTAACTGTAAATATAGCATGCTCCCAATTTCGGGGGAAAATGTACATGTGCATAGAAAAAAAAAACTGGAAGAAAATACGCTTGTATGTTAACTATTTTAATCTCTTTGAGTGGTGGAATGTTTTGTTTCTGCTTTTCCCCAGTTTTCCACAATGAACACACACAACCTTTGTAATCAGAAGAAAACAAAACAAATAGCTATGTCCCTTCGCTGACTTCATGAAGTTTCTAGAAAAGGAACAGTGACGGGTGTCAGGAACGAAGTCCTTTTCCAGCCTTTCTCTTCCCAGTCTCTGTCCGGGAGTGCTATTAGCAGACTTTCTGCAAGGGAGTTCCCAGGACCACCCGTGTCAGGATTCGCTGGGACAGCAATTCTTAAATCCTCACTGTGCACTCGAATCACAGAATCTCAGGGGACCTTGTTAAGATGCAGAGGCCTAGGGCAAGCCCCAGATTCTGCATTTCTAACTAGGTGCAGGTGGTGGGTCCAAAGACCACACTTTCAGTAGCAAGGACCTAGGGCAGTTTAAGATTCCTGGGTCACAACTGTCCAGGCATGAAGGCAGGGAGTCTGCAGTTTTAACAAGCTCCCTGGGTCATCGTGATGCAAGGTCAGGATTTGAGAAACATTGATATTAGAACTTCTGGGCAACACCACAGGCCTATCTTGATTATAGTATAAGGGTCCTGCTGGCGCCAGGATCCCCCTAACTAGGCAAGTGTCACAGGTCCAATGAGGTGTGCAGGTCGGGGAGGCCCAAAGACACCAGCACTGTTCTATCTCATCAGCTCAGTGGGAGGTACATAGTTGTTCAGATTATTTTTCTTTAAACTCTGTGTATTCATTACATACTCTTTTGAATGTGAGATAAAAACTTACGAAAAGGAGGCAGTATAGGATAATAGACTGAGTCAGAGAAGAAAGGTAAAAAAAGCGGGGTTTAGGACTTACTTCTACCTCACCTTGGGACAAGTCACTTCTCATTGACAAATGGAAACAAAAATAATCCTTGCTGGGGCACCTGCGTGGCTCAGTCGGTTGTCTGACTCTTAATTTCGGCCCAGGTCATGATCTCGGGGGTCGTGGGATCAAGCCCCACATCAGGCTCCACGCTCAGTGTGGAGTCTGCTTATCCCTCTCCCTCCCCCTCTGCTCTGCCTCCCCTTTGTGTGTACCCCCCATGCACTCTCTCTCTCTAAAATAAATACATAAAATCTTAAAAAAACAAAACAGCCATGTCGTTGCAAATGGGACCTTTCCTCCTCCCCTCCCCCCAGCTCCAAGTATCTAGAGATTTGGGGTCTCTCTTTCCAAGATGCTGGCGGCTACAGAGGCAGAAGAGGCAGCTCTGTCTATGCTCGCCGTTGCTGAAGAGGTAGGCTGGGGCTCCCCTAAACCCCCTCCCCATTCTCATGAGGACATCACCCCCAATCCCTTCACCCCAGAGTCTTAGTTTCAGTGGGGCCTCTGGGGGAACCTCGGGCAAGTCGTGGCCACTTTCCCTGCCCTCTCATCTCTGCTGCCCTTCTGGAAACCTCTCCTCTCTGCAGGCAGACTGGCCCCTTCACCCACCTGTGGGGGCTGCGGCGCAGGCCGGCACACATGCAGGCCAGGAGGCAGAGGAGGCCCAGGCAGACACCCACAATGATGCCTGTGACTGAGTGCACGTCCAAGGAGTCTGGCGGGGGACAGAGAGGGGACAGAACAGGTCAAGGCCAGGACAAGGTCCAGGGTTCATAGATCAGGATTTCTGTGGCTTCCTCAGGAGACCACTGGTCTCACCCTCTGGACACAAAAATCTGCTGCTGCAAGAAGGGGTCCACCACCACCTCTCTCTCTGACTGTCCTCCCCACTGGACATCTGAAGTTCTGATCTCTCTCTGTCACCCTGGCCTCTCAGTGAAACACACTAGGGTTGGTTCCGTGGGTGTGCAACAAGAGCGGTCGCACGGGGCCCACACTCAGAAGGACGCCATGCTTGGTTGAAGGTTCTGCTATCACCATCTTGCAATTCTAATTTTTTAATGAGGGTCCCACGTTTTCATTTCACACTTGGCCCTGCAAATCACATAGCCAGTCCTGCTGCCCTCTCCCACCCCATAAAGCTTGTCACCTCTCCAAGCCGATCCTCCAATCAAAGCAGTCTCCCAAAGAACCAAGCCAGTCTCCCATAAATCTGACCTCTTGACTGAATCACTACTGAACTACATCCATTTCCCCTTCAAATCTGTCCCCTCCCCACCAAACTACAAAGCCAGCTGTCCAAAACAATGAAAGGGTAGTTGTACCTGGGGGCAGGGCCCTGGAAGAGATGACTTTAGCATTAGAGGTCAACTCCAGGGGCCTCAGAAGACCTCAGGCTGTCCTAGGGTGGACCTACTCCTCCCTCCCTGCCCTCATACCTGAGAGCTTCTCCTGGAGAGTGATCACATCCTGCAGGCCAGAGAAGGGCCCAGGCCCCACCTCTGTGCGCGCCCCCATCTTGAAGAAGTACCTAGTGTCGCTCTCGAGGCCATGTACCTCAGCACTGAAGATGTTTCCTGGGGGCAGGGGGAAGCAAGGAAAGCAGGGTTGGAGGGTTGGGGGGGGTGCGGGATGCAGGGGTAGCCTGGAAAACGGGACTAAGAAGGTATGCTCTCCCACTCGAGCACTAGCTTCTGCCTGCTTCTTCTAGAAACCCGTGGAACAAACCTCAGCCACACTCTCACCACTAACCCAGCCACTGGAGTGGTTGGAAAAGGGAGAGAGGGTGGGGAAACTCTCGCTCAGATGCCCTGGGGTGGGAGCCCTCACCCTCCGTGGTGAGCAGGGTCCACTGGTGTTCAGGCTGGGTGTGGTTGCTGCTATATAGGATGAGATACTCCACGATCTCTCCATTGGGCTCGGTGGGGGGGCACCAGTGCAGCCGAACGGTGGACGGCGTCAGGGGGCTCAGACGCAGGTCAGATGGGGGCGTTGAGGGCCCTGGGGTGCAGGGGAGGAAATGGGGAGAGGCACAGTCACTGAGAGCCCCAGCTCCGGGGGGCAGCTGGGAGACAGGGCATGAGGACAAACCACAAACCACAAAGCAAAATGAGATCTGATCTCTAACTGGTGAGTTTCTGGAAAACATTTGGCCGGGGGGCGGGGGGGGGGGGGGTTCACTACCATTCCTCCCCTCAGAAACTCTTCTTCACTCCTTGGAGCAGGTCTCAAATTTCCACACCCAAATACTTCCAAAGGTGGAGGAGACTGTCTGGTATTCCAAAGACCCAGGGGCAGAGCTCAAAATTTTCTGGAAGGCTTAATTTTATTTTGAACTCTCATACTAAGTTTCTCCTCTGTTCCATGGTAAAGTTTAACCTAAAAATAGTGTTTAAAACTATTTATCATTGAAAGTTCCTAACTGGACGCCTGGGTGGCTCAGACGGTTGAGGGTCTCCCTTCAGCTCAGGTCATGATCCCGGGGTCCTGGGACTGAGCCTCGCATTGGGCCCCCTGCTCAGCGGGGAGCCTGCTTCTCCCTCTGCCTCTGCCTGCCACTCCCCCTGCTTGTGCTCTCTCTCTGACAAA